TTTTCCCCCTTCCCCTTGCCAGGCTGCACTTAAATCTTTCTCATTCCTTCATGCTCTCAATGACTTGTTTTGGCCAATATGCCAGAACCTGGAACACAGAATTAAAGCCAAACCCATCTCTGGTTTTATGCTTTTACACAGCCAAAAGAAGAATAACACCAGCGCACCGTGTTCTGTATGTATATAGATAACTAGAGAAAGTTACTAGTCAGTGTGTTATGTCCAACAGTAACCATAAGTTGCCTAAAGCCATACAATAACCAATATTTCCCTTTACAGTATTTTCAGATGTACCTCAAGCCTCACAAGCATGACTTAACATGCAACTTTTTTGGCTTACCTCAAAAGGTAGCGCTATTGGTGGTGGTGGCTTTTTCAGTTCTTCGCATTTTCTCTTTTTACATATCCGGTGACTAGTTTTGCGTTTCCTGCAGCAGCTGCATTCTTCACAATTTGTTTTCCGCAGACAGGGTTCACAGACTCCACAACGCCTTCGTTTCTTTTTTTCTAGCATAGGGAGCAAAGATGAATATGGAACAGGGTAATCACAAGCCGGATTTGTAAGAGAGGATGGCCCTGAGGCCTCTACTGCTTCAGTGCTGTCACTCATGTTGTCCTGAACCAAATTCAAGTTTATTCCAACACTTTCCAGCTGTGATGAATAATCATTATGCTGCAGTCTTGAGTCAGCTCGCAAATCTACATTTATGGCTTTTTCAGAGGCAACAGCAGAGATTCCTGTGCTTGAAGGCAACACTGAAACAAAACCTTCAGAGAATTGTCCAGAGCTTTCACTGAAGATTTTATCCCCTGTGCTTTTTTCCTCATCAGATGATGAAGTGGGGACATTACCTGAATTTGAAGCTGAAGTTTCTGCATTAATACATTTAACAAGCTGTTCAATTTCCTCCACTTCAATGTTGTTTAAAGAGGTATGGGAAGCTGGTTCACATACTGTAAATGTATTTTTTGAGTCAGGTCCCGAATTCTCCCTTGTACAGCTCTGATCAGAATTTGAGTTAAGTTCTTTGTGCACAGGTATGAAATCCACAACCACTTTTATGTGGGATTCTGTAAATGAACTTGAGCCTTCAAAATGTAAAAGTGAATTTGATTCAGTGGCAGCAACAGAGTTGGAGTTTGAAACAGGTTCTTTATTCACAGACTCTAAATCCCAGTCTACTTTTAAGCAGGATTCTGCAAGTGAGCTTGAATCTTCTAAACGTTCTTGTGAGTTAAGTTCAGAGGTAACTATAGATGTAGAATTCAAATCATGTTCTTTATTAGCTAGCACCAGATCCAACTCTGTTTGGACATGGGATTCAGCGAGTGGGCCCAACTCTTCTAACGGTACTGCTGAACTGAGGTCTGAGGTATTGACAGAGTTGGACTTGAAATCAGGTTCTTTACTGTTAGGCACCAGATCAAAGGGAATCTCTAAAAGTACCTTTGAGTTTGATTCAGAGGTGATTACAGAATCAGAAGATGGAAGCACAAGCACAGCATTTTCAACAAATGCTTCGACTGAACTACCCGTATTGAGATGGTTGGGTGTCTGCTCACAGGGCAGGTCTTCTTGCTTATACTCCACCTCTGACCCTTCCGTACTGCAATCAGCTACCTGACTGTTTGGAATGGAGTCATTTGTTTCAGGTATTTCTCTCTCTTTGTCTTGATTATCACATTTGGTGGCAGGCTCTTTGTCTGCACTGCATGGCATATCCTCTCCAGGAAGAGAAGCTAATTCATTTTGTGCTATATCTTGTTGCAAAACGCTTTCGCCTGCTTCAACATTTTTTTCTTCTACTACTGCCAGGGCTACTTGTTCATGTTTTTCCTTTGTTTCTAGCCTTTTCTGTGCTGCAGCTTTCTTGGGTTTTGCAATTGTTGGAGTTTGGGCCAATCTACGGGAGAATGATCTGTTACGGAGAGACATTGTAAAGCCATTGATGTTGAAAGAATCCTGGTTATGAAAGAGAATATTGTCAGCTTTCTCCAAACTCACCCAAGATGCTCCAGATAAGGTTCTGGTTACACTGCTCCTGAGAAGTCTACCTGATGAGCTCATGATTGGTTTCTTTTCTTGCTGTTTTTTCTTAACATCTTTTTCTTGTGCTGTCTTTTTGCATTTTCCAGAACTAACAGCTTTTGTGGAAGTCTTTGTGGTTTTTTTTCTCACTTGGCTAGATTTCTTTTTGCCTTGGTTAGTTTTCCTTTTGCCTAACTCTTCCTTTTTGACTAATCTGGAAGGCCTCGCGTGGTGAGCCATGGCTGTTGAGTAGTAGAAACGTTAAGAGGGGCGATGGAAAAAAATCATGAGCTCTTGAGAGAACTTTTCAATAGAAAACTGTACACTCCCATTGCTGCTCTCTGTAGTGATACAGAGTTAACTCTGAAATAGAAAAAGGTATAAAATAACATTAATATAATCCTAATAAACCAAGGAAGCACACATTAAGCTGACCATTTTAAAATAATATTTAAAAGTACACAGGTACAAGTAGAAATATTTCTATCACACATTACGTTTAATTAACGCAGAAGCTTTGAAAATACTAGTAGTAGATTACAAAACAGAAAACTTGCCCAAATGCCTCTAACACAAATGAAAAAGGGAATAAAGCTCAAATGATCAGGCAACATCATATATTTATTGTTTTACATTAATTCTAAGCAGCTTAAATTTTTTCAAGCTTTTAAGGGTTCATTGACTCCACTGCACTTTGCTAAGAATGGGTAAGGTTATATCCATGGACACACTATTGAACATAACCCTAACACCTATCACTATGCAAGAAAAAGAGTAAAGCTGAGTTTATCTGGTGTATGTGTGCATTCACCCTAACAAGACTGTCTCTCATTCTTTTGCCATCCGCAGGCTGCCCACCATGGTGCAATTCTAAGTAAAATGAGAGAAGTAATTAGCTCCACAAAGATGGCCAATTCATAGCACTGCTCAGAGAATAACTGGATCACGGAAGAATAGCTCTTCTGGGTGTTATCTCCCGGGTGATGTATCAGCACAACACCACACTGCAAGCCTTGGTCCTATTCTGCCTGGCTGTATCAAAATGTATTATGTAAGCAATCATCTTTGCTCCATCATTATGACTACCAACATATTTGGCTTCAACAAAATACCACAAAGTTTGTCCTATGCTTTTGTCCCCAAATATGACTGCCAGGCAGAAGTCCCCAAATTTCCCAAACACAGCCTGGGTATCTCAGAGGATACAGTGGATACCCACATTCTTCTTGCGCCTAAAAAATTTCTTTCAAAGAAGAGGGTATTTTTTTACACGTAAAGCAATGGTAATTAGGTACACAGCTTCTACATGCATGCTTTTAAGAACCTACGGAAGGCTTTTAAAGCTTTATTTGTCTATCTGAATAGTTCACATGGGAAGACAAGGAGCACCCTAAAACTGGGAGCAAGCAGAGCCAAGAGCAAGACCCTCCCGTAGTCTGAGACAGGAGGGCACCTTCCCTTCCTCATCATTCCTGTGAATTCCTTACATCCAAAGCAAGTCACCTACAGGTCACTTGCACCCCACTGCTGGAAGGGGGAAGAGGGAGGAGAAGGAAGGAGAGAATAAGAAAGAGAATGATGTCTGAAACGCTGACTTTGAGAGGAAGTAGAAAAGGGAAGAAGGGTGCTGCTGGGCTCCAGGCAACATCAGCTCAGATTGGCTGGTGAGCCAGAGGGCACTCCCCTTCCCATGACCTCAACCTCATCTTGAAGCCAGGAGGGTAATCTTACGGAGGCCGCACTTAACCAGAGCATAGTCTGGGCTTTTGTTGAAGGCTGGGAGTGCAACACTGGTGCTCCAGAAATGACAGCTGTTTGACATTACTACATTGGCCAGGTCCGGCTGACAGAGCAAATGAAAAGGCACAGAGCCTGCAAAGAGCAGCTCTGCCAGCAGAACAGACCCCCAGACCACAGAAGTACATCTATAGCACAAGCAGAGCTAACAACTTAGGACCATCCACACCGAACAGCGCTGCGCTGCACCCAGATAAGCTCATTGGCCTGCCACCAAGCCAGTCCAGCACAGCCAATATGCACCAGCCTCTGCAGAGCCGCACGCTGCTGTGGCACCCTGCACCAGCGCGGCAGCAGCTCACTCGTGTCAACCGACAGTAAAGAACAGCAGAGCCAGGGAAAGTCCGGTCTATGCTTCTGACTTCCTCGCAGCCTTGAGCAGCTGCCACCACTCCACCACTGCATTTCACAGTTAGCGCAGTACAGACCAATGCTAACAATAACTCCCCAAGCTCTTTTAGAGTAGCTTAATTAAAGCTTTCCTGAAGCCTAGTTCTTTTTCACTCAGCAGCAGTAAGCTGACTGAGCTTGTATACTACAACACGTAGATCAACTATCTCATCTAAACATGCTCTAATTATTCTGTACCATGTATTCATATGGTATAAGCATATCAGACTAATGTTATTACTGAGCCAGTAATTTTCACACACTCAATCAAATACCATTTTAGAGTCAGCAGTACTGTAGAAGAGAAGGCTAAACATGCTTCTAATGTCAGATCAGAAAGTAATGCCTATCTCACGCACGACAAACAAACTAACAACATCCCTGTTCCATCACAGCAAAAACATCCAACCTCGTGAGACTAAATATACATGTATCGCTAATTGTACATAATACTTCAGAGGCCATAGGAAAGACCTGAACAGCTCCCACAAGAATGTTCTATAAAACCTGGACCAGACACTGAAATAGTAAAATAAACACAAAGCTGAAATTAAGGTAGTTTGAGTGCTTTCCCCCTCCTATCCTTTTCTGGTGTGGGGGAAGGGAGACATTGCCATTACTAGTCATTTCATGAACGGAGTATCAAGAAAGGTATCAGAATCACATCAACGGGTCCATGAAATACTTGTTGGGAGTTTGCAAAAAGCAAACTGTTTTGATGAGACCCGGCTCTTCCTTCCAAAGAATAGCCTGGAGGCCTGTAAAACCAGTTGGAAACAAGCAGCAGGCCGCATATCTGTAGCCATTAGTGGCCAGTGCTACATAACAGTAGTAGGAGAGGAAATGCAAGCTACTTTCGGAGACTATAGCCAGTAGAGCAAGGAAGAAAGAAACCAAACAAGAAGGGCCAGGCAACATGGGAATGTGTGCATGAGGAGGGGACCAAAAGAAAGGAGATAAAGTTTTTCCTCTTTATCAACCGTGAAACAGAAGCGGAATGATGAGAGAAAAGAGGAGATTAGTGGAAACAGTGACTGAATTTTTGAAGATACTGAATGCGCATGATGCTTTTTTCTTATTACTTTTCTACATAAACAGTTGCCACTGCTATTGTGGAAATCTGGGAATCATGACCTTCAAAATGATCAGTTAGAAGCTTAATTTATAACTTCATCTTGCAACTGTTAATGCTTTATTTTTCTGTCATTATTACTATGTGATAATAGGTCTTTACTTGCATTTAGAAGTTGCAACATGAGCACTCCAGGGCTGAAGTACTAAGACCATCCTATTCCTTTTGATTAAAAAAAAAAAAAAAAAAAAAAAAAAAAAAAAAAAAAAAAAAGAGAGAGAAAGAGAGAGAGAGACAGACAGACACACCTTTATGGCAAAGAGGTAGAAAAGTAACAAAGCCAAAGTGTTGCTTCTTTTCAGGGTCTAAAATTAGATGCTGGTTGAAGATCTCTTTCTTGGTACATAAAGAATGCTGATATTTGTAGGAAATTGCTAGGCATTTAAGCAGTGTTTTAGAGAAGACTGTAAAGGTCGTTAGCATTTCTCTTGCTTAGAAATGACAATACAGAGAAGTAAAGAGAACAGCAGCAGCTTTACCTGTTTTGTTTCAATTTCAACACTAAAGAATTCAGATTTTCCAGAAGAGATCTGAGCAACAGATCTCTAAAGGATTTTTTTTTTTAATACTGGATTTCAGTTTTATTTGTCTGAGACTCTGAGCTCCAAGGTTACCAGACTTCCGAGGTAACTCTGAGCTCTGGGGAGAAATGCCTGTCAGCAAGGCTTCTCTTAAAGAAAACCCATAGTCATGATGTACGCTCGTCTGCTACAACAGTCTTTAACTGCTGGGTAAAAACTGTCGTATATGTTTTAATGAAAGTTTCTAATATAACTCAATTACGTTTTTTTGTTGTTGTTGTTTGGTCTTCCACATTTAGGAAAACAATATTAGGTAGCTACACGCTCAATATTCAAGTTTTGTTTTCTAAAATAATAAGATATATTTTATCCTCCCTTTTTCGTTTAAAGGACTGGTAATGACTCAATGTTGATATCTGCAGCAGTTGTAAATTGCCTTATATCACTTTCTAAGCTCTACCACCTTAGTCAAATTTCATAACAAGAAATTAACCATACTCTCAGAATAGTTATGGTGGCATAGCACAGCTATCAGATATAAACCTCATGGGTCAGTGTAATAATTTGTCAATCTCTTATCATTCTGGAAAGGAACATAAACTTACTTCAAGGCTCTCAGCTCAAAGTCAAATCAGCTAGGACCTACAATATCCTCCTCCCTGAGAGCAGAAGATGAGGAGCACCTCTATGTAAAATAGGTCATAGGTATAGGAGGGTTTTGCAAGGAGCTGCCCTAGATAGTGCATAGTGCATGCTAAAGCTGTTTGTTACTTGAGCTAAATTATCTCTTCTAATTCATGAGCAAAATCAAAAGCTGGTAACTGGTAACGCCAGTTGCTTAAGTTTTGCTCATTCACAGTAATAAATCTGAAACAATCCCATCAACTGCTTTAATCCTCAACAAATACTGCTAAAAAGCTAACAAAGGGCTAAATCTTTTAGTCTTTACCTTGTCAAAACTCCAAACAAGTATAATGAGAATTTTGCCCTCAAAATAATTGCAGAATTTAACCCTATATTACCAGTATGGCTCCAGGAAAAAAAAAAAAAAAAAAAAACCAACTTTTCTTATTTACTTTTTTTTTCCCCCACACACACACACACAAATTAAAGCAAATTTTCCTTTTAGAAGTAGTGTTCACTAAAATTCTATTTCATAACTGGATTCTTGTTGGAAGATGGAAAGAAAGAGAGATTAAAAGATGTGTTCTCATAAAATGGTGGCAGTCTTCTTAGATCATGACAGAGAGCAAGTAACCTCTGAAAAAAACAGAGCTGCATGGAAAAAGATCACAAAGCTAGGACTAGCATACCTGGTTTCACTACAGTCAGATGCCCTAATTAAATAAATACATTAGTTTCAGTGCTTAGGTATCTTTTAAAAAGTCACTTGAGACCTGCCTGGTGGGGAAACAAGACCTGGAAGCTTTCATAAAAGCCACTTGAAAATAATATACAGGTCCCAAACAACATGGGCCACATTCAGATTTAGGACCTGTTGTAACATCTCTATAATCTTTAAT